TTCTATACTGTAGATTCATAATTTCTATACTGCACATTCATAATTTATGTACCGTAGATTCATAATTTCTATAATGTAGATTCATAATTTCTAAACTGTATAGTTATCAAATTATGAATACATAGTTATCAAATTATGAATTTACAGTACAGAAATTATGAATGTGCAGTATAGATATTATGAATCTACATTATAAATTTTATGAATCTACAATATAAAAATTATGAATCTACAGTATAAAATTACGAATCTATAGTACATAAATTATGAATGTGCAGTATATAAATTATGAATCTACATTACAGAAATTATGAATGTGAAATATAAAAATTATGAATCTACATTATAAATTTTATGAATATACAGTATAAAAATTATAAATCTATAGTATAGAAATTATGAATCTACAATATAGAAATCATGAATGTATAGGGTGTCCACCATGCATATGGTTGACACGGGTCCAAGGCATAACACTCCATTCTACACTGCTCTCGTCAAAATCCAACTCCTTTGTCCGGCAAAGTTTTATCGATTTGCTTTTTTGAACTATGCCTAATAGATACATGAATTAGAAGTGTTTGTTAAATTATCTATTAAGTAATTCGTATATTATAAAGAACACAAATTAAAATGACATTTTCATAATAATTATTTTATTTTTTGACAGTAAAACGGACTAATTAATTAAAAAATAAACAATTAAGGATTTAAATTTGTTTAAATTAAGTTAAAAAGGACAAAATTTTAAAAAGTTAAACAATTAAAGGGCCAAGAATGTTATTCTCCTTAATTTTTATAAAAATTGTGTTAATTTTCATCAAATCAAAATGCTTCACACATTATATGTTATAATTCATGGAAGCTTTTACTAAAATGATGCAAGCACGGGAGACGCACATCAATTCTGACACATATAAGACATAATTAAAGTATATCATATCTATGGCAAATTTTCTGCAAAATTTGTGTGCTTGGCATGAAACATAAGGAAATTACCGTCATATGCAAAATAAATAAATAATATACTTAATATTTTATATTTTTAATGTCATTTTAATAGGATAAATTGATTCTAAATGATAAAATAAATTCATATGTTAATGAAGTTTGACAGGTTTATAATTAATACTGTGGACTAAAAGTGTTACATTATATTTATTGAACTCATAATAATATGTTAATGGAATTTGACAAGTGTATAATAATAGGGACTAAAAGTAAAATATTATGATTTATGAAAAATTAAGGGGGTAAATTTATTTAAATTAAGTTATCAGGACTAAATTTCTAAAAGTGAAAATTAAGGGGGCAAGATGTTATTTTCTTTAATTTTTATAAAAAATTTGTCAATTTAATAACAAATTTTGTTAATTTGTTTAAAAGAATTGTTAATTTGTATTAAAAAAATTGTTAATTTTCATCGAACGAAGTTGGTCCATACATCATAACACATGGCAGTATTGACTAAAGTGATGTACGTCATATCCGAACGGATAAAGGATTCAACACTGCTCTCGTCAAAATCCATCTCCTTTGTCCGGCAAGGTTTTATCGATTTACTTTTTTGAACTATGCCTAATAGATACATGAATTAGAAGTGTTTGTTAAATTATTTATTAAGTAATTCGTATATTATAAAGAACACAAATTAAAATGACATTTTCATAATAATTATTTTATTTTTTGACAGTAAAACGAACTAATTAATTAAAAAATGAACAATTAAGGGTTTAAATTTGTTTAAATTAAGTTAAAATGGACTAAATTTTAAAAAGTTAAACAATTAAAGGGCCAAGAATGTTATTCTCCTTAATCTTTATAAAAATTGTGCTAATTTTCATCAAATCAAAATGCTTCACACATTATATGTTATAATTCATGGAAGCTTTTACTAAAATGATGCAAGCACGGGAGACGCACATCAATTCTGACACATATAAGACATAATTAAAGTATATCATATCTATGGCAAATTTTCTGCAAAATTTGTGTGCTTGGCATGAAACATAAGGAAATTACCGTCATATGCAAAATAAATAAATAATATACTTAATATTTTATATTTTTAATGTCATTTTAATAGGATAAATTGATTCTAAATGATAAAATAAATTCATATGTTAATGAAGTTTGACAGGTTTATAATTAGTACTATGGACTAAAAGTGTTACATTATATTTATTGAACTCATAATATGTTAATGGAATTTGACAAGTGTATAATAATAGGGACTAAAAGTAAAATATTATGATTTATGAAAAATTAAGGGGGTAACTTTATTTAAATTAAGTTATCATGACTAAATTTCTAAAAGTGAAAATTAAGGGGGCAAGATGTTATTTTCTTTAATTTTTATAAAAATTTTGTCAATTTAATAACAAATTTTGTTAATTTGTTTAAAAGAATTGTTAATTTGTATTAAAAAAATTGTTAATTTTCATCGAACGAAATTGGTCCATACATCATAACACATGGCAGTATTGACTAAACTGATGTACATCATATCCGACCGGATAAAGGATTCAACACTGCTCTCGTCAAAATCCATCTCCTTTGTCCGGCAAGGTTTTATCGATTTGCTTTTTTGAACTATGCCTAATAGATACATGAATTAGAAGTGTTTGTTAAATTATTTATTAAGTAATTCGTATATTATAAAGAACACAAATTAAAATGACATTTTCATAATAATTATTTTATTTTTTTAATGTAAAATGGACTAATTAATTAAAAAATGAACAATTAAGGATTTAAATTTGTTTAAATTAAGTTATAAAGGACTAAATTTTAAAAAGTTAAACAATTAAAGGGCCAAGAATGTACCAGGACTATGTGGTCTAATGGTACCCGGGTTGGACTTCCATTTGGAAGATTATGAGTTTGAGCCTCAGTGGAGGCGTTATTGGTTCTTTGTGTTTCAATAGGTTGAGAAAGTATATGAACAGATACTACAATGTAATAGAGCCAGTAACTTTCAAAAAAAAGGGCCAAGAATGTTATTCTCCTTAATCTTTATAAAAATTGTGTTAATTTTCATCAAATCAAAATGCTTCACACATTATATGTTATAATTCATGGAAGCTTTTACTAAAATGATGCAAGCACGGGAGACGCACATCAATTCTGACACATATAAGACATAATTAAAGTATGTCATATCTATGGCAAATTTTCTGCAAAATTTGTGTGCTTGGCATGAAACATAAGGAAATTACCGTCATATGCAAAAAAAAAAAAATGATAATATACTTGATGTTTTATATTTTTAAATCCAAAATTCAAATTGTTGACAAAGTAACGTCATTTTAACATAAAAATAATTGATTCTAAATGATAAAATAAACTCATATGTTAATGGAATTTGACAAATAATAATAGGGACTAAAAGTACAATATTATGATTTATGAACAATTAAGTGGCTAAATTTATTTAAATTAAGTTAAAAGGACTAAATTTCTAAAAGTGAAAAATTAAGGAGGCAAAATGTTATTTTCTCTAATTTTTATAAAAAAAATTGTTAATTTGTATACAAAATTTTGTTGATTTTTGCCGAAATTGCTCCATACATCATAACGTATGACAGCTAGCATTAACTATTTTGATGTAAGGTATGCCTGACCGGGTAAAGGATTCAACACTGCTCTTGTCAAAACTCATCTCCTTTGTCCGACTAGGTTTTATCCATTACCATTTTTGAACTATGCCTAATAGATGCATGAATTAGAAGTGTATGATAAAACGAATTATTAAGTAATTGGTATATTATAAAGAACACAAAATGACATCTTTATAATAATTATTTTATTTTTTGACTGTAAAATGGACTAATTACTTAATAAATGAACAATTAAGGAGTTAAATTTGTTTAAATTAAATTAAAATGACTAAATTTTAAAACGTTAAACAAATAGGGGCCAAGAATGTTATTCTCTTTAATTTTAATAAAAAAATTATTTTAATTTTCATCAAATGAAAATGCTTCACACATTATATGTTTATAATTCATGGAAGCTTTGACTGAAACGATGCAAGCACGGGAGACACACATCAATTCTGACACATATAATTCATAATGTATGTCATATCTATGGCAAAATTTCTTCACAATTTGTGTGCTTGGCATGAAACAACCGTCATATGCAAATAAAAAAAAAAAAAGATAATATACTTGATGTTTTATATTTTTATATCCAAAAATCAAATTGTTGACAAAGTAACGTTATTTTAACATAAAAAATTGATTCCAAATGATAAAATAAACTCGTATATTAATGGAATTTGACAAGTGTATAATAATAGAGATTAAAAGTACAACATTTTGATTTAAGAACAATTAAAGGGCTAAATTTATTTAAATTAAGTTACAAGGACTAAATTTATAAAAGTAAAAAATTAAGGGGGCAAAACGTTATTTTCTTTAATTTTTATATAAAATTTTGTCAATTTGCATTCAAATTTTGTTAATTTTCACCAAAATTGCTCCATACCACATAACGTATGGCAGCATTGACTATATTGATATACGTCATGATTGACCGGGTAAAGGATTCAACACTGCTTTCGTCAAAACTCATCTCCTTTGTCCGGCTAGGTTTTATCATTAACTTTTTTGAATTATCCCTAATAGAAGAATTAGAAGTATTTGATAAAATTAATTATTAAGTAATTAATATATCATAAAGAACACAAAATGACATCTTTAAAATAATTATTTTATTTTTTGACAATAAATCGAATATTTAATTGATAATGTATTTTTTATGATTATTTTTAGAAAAAACTTATCAAAGTATTATATTTTTGATAATTTTTAATTAATACTCCGTAATATTTAGCTAATTTAAGAATAAAATATTTGTAAACCCCAATCAAGCATAGTTAATCTTTTGTCTTTTAGCCAAGTTTCAATTAAGACTTTTTGCTGATTTTTTTCCAGTTAAGTGTCAACTGTCAAGTACATCCTTAGTATATGCCTATAAAAGGATTACATGTTAACATTAAAATTCCACTCAGCACGCGCCGCCATGACTTCGGATTCGCCGTCGATCCCGCAGCAATTAGCGGCGAAGCTCGCTAGGACGAGCTCCGGTCCAACCTCCTCTAAAATCGCGGCCGTGCCGGCGGCGTTGGGGGATGATCTGCCGGTGGAAATCCTTCTTGACATTTTCTCCAGGCTGCCGGTGAAGTCTCTCCTCCGTTTCCGGTCAGTCTCCAAGCTCTGGCGTTGCCTGATCGGCGAGACGTGTTTGGTGGGGCCTCACTTCTCCCGCTCCCTCCGCAATGTCCTCCACCACCACTTCCTCATCACCGCTTACAGCGTTGAAAAATCAAAGCTCACTATCTTGTCCGGCGACACCCGTTCCGGCGGCGGACCACCGGCCTGCCTCTTCTGCTTCTCGAATTGCCGGTTCCAGCAGACTCTATTCGGCCGCATAAAAGGATTCGCCTGGCATCCGCACCGAGACAGGTTCATCCGTCGCGAAGAATTCCGGTATCTCTTTAACCCTAGCACTCGACAAATTCTGGAAATTCCTCTGAATACTCTCACTTGGGATATCAATCTCTGTTTATACGCTTTAGGTTTTAGTCGAAACAGGGAGGAATTTAAGGTCCTCAGCATTAACATCTCGGATGGTTATGAATGTCATATTCTCACCATACGAATGAGTGGTATTGGTGAATGGAAAAAGGTTAATTCCCTAATGCCATTTGATATTAAGAATGAGTTTTGCAGCATACGCTACCAGGACTGCGTTTGTGTAGCCGGTGTGATGCATTGGATCTTATGGAAGGTCAAGAAGATTGCAACTTTCAACCTGGAAACAGAGAGTTTTTCAACCATGGAGCTCCCAGTTGAGTTACAGGCTTTCGGGGCGAATGTAAGGACGTTTTATCTGCTCGAGATTGATGGCTGCTTAGCAGTGGTATGCGACGGAGATATTCCGGAATTTGGGTCCTGCAGGATAGATCTTTGGATATTGAAAGAGTATGAGAGTGGGAATTGGATTGGAGACATCATAAATCTGCCTGTTTACTATATGGGGGCGTATTTAACTGGTTCCATCCCCTATTCAGGCGAGATCGTGCTGGCAACCCAGAGGCGCTCTGCAGATTCTGCAATTGTTCCATTGTATGATAGGATTACCAAAAGTTTTCGGGAGGTGGAAATCCCGCTCCCTCCATCGTTGTCTTCATACGATGTGAAGCTCGGGGATGCTATGGTTTACACCGAAAGCCTCTTCTCTTTTAGGTTTCTGTTCATTTCTTTGGATTGAAATGGCAGAGTGGATCTTGAATTCTTGATTGTGGCAAATCAAGCACAAAACTCACTTGAATCGACAATCAAGTAGCCTCTCCTGAAGCTTGTAAGTCTCTCCTGAATATTACCTTGTGATTCATACTTGAATCCATACTGTGTATCATGATCTGTAACAGAAGAATAATCTAGCTTCTTAAGCTCATGTATGTTTTTCTCTCTTCCTCCTGAATAAAACGCCATCAGTATTGGGTTGTAACTTGTAAGAAATCGCCTGAAATGAGATTTAATAGGTTGTATATCCTCATGAGTGTATGGAATCTTGATGATGGCTTGAACATTTTCCTGTTTAATTGAACTTAGCATGCAGTATATGCTGAAGGGTTGGCTATAGTAAAAGAAAAACTGCAAAAAATTGCATTTTTTCAACTAAATTCACATTGCAAAGATTGGTATAGTACATAACTGCACAAATGATCAAGATCAGATAATTTGATGCCCTGGCTTCAAGATCTTGTACACTTGCTGCATTTTAGTAATCTATATCTATATCTATACTATAATTAAAAACAAAATCCTATTTACTTAATTTCCCACTAAAACAATAGTAAATAGTAAAGGTAAATTAAAAAAAGGGACAGAAATATTTCACAATAATACTCTACATCATCATCAATTAAAAATGGAACAAAAATTAGGTAAATTGGAAAAAGAAATAATGAATATTAATAATTGACTGAAAATTAAAAATGGAAAAAGAAACGAAAATTAGGTTAATTGGAAAAAGGAAATGAATATTAATAATTGACTGAAAATAAAAAATGATTCATAATTAACTAAAATGGAAAAGAAAATGGTCAGATCATTGCATTTTAATTTTTCACAATAATATTACACAGTAGAATAAATCAAATCACAATTATATAATAAATCTTTCACAATTTTAAACAATGGAACAGAAATTAAAAATGGAACGAAAATTAAAAATGAAGCGGAAATATATTTCAATAATAATATTCTACATCATCAAGTAAACGTAAATAAAAAAAAATGGAAATGAGATACTTCAATAATAATATTCTACACCATCATAAAGGCATATTTTAAACAATAGTAAAGGTAAACTAAAAATGGAACGAAAATTAAAATGGAACGGAAATATTTCAAAAAAAATATTCTACATCATCAATTAAAAATGGAATGAAAATTAGGTAAAAATTTCATTGCATCTTATAATCTAATTGACTGGAAAAAAAAAAGAGAATAATTGGCTGAAAATGTATCTGATAATTACTAATTGACTGAAAATATAAAAGGATCACTAATTGACTGATATTCTACCATTATATATTTTCACCCGAGTCACTCATCCTGATTGACTGAAGGTGTTAGCTCTAGACGAAGATGGACAAGATTGTGTTGCTACTACTAATGCTGTCTACAAAGAGGTTTCAATAATGTGTAAATACAATCGGTGATATTATTTTTTTTTTAAATTACAAAATTGTTATATATCTAGACAAAAAATATATTTTCCATACAAATGAATTAGGATATCAATTCATTCTTATGACTGAGTTGCTAGAGAACGAAAACATTTACCTAATTTATAAAAAATACTGAACAATGATAAATAAAATCTTCAAAGTTACAGCACCACATGCATATATCTACACATCAGCTATTAATTTGAGCAATTATTTGCTCAAATTCAAGCAATGATAACATAAAAAACACATAAATGATCCAAACCACATCTTTAATTGCACTATATAATATTTGATGCTCTAATTTAAATAATTATATATCGATCTAAATAATCTTAATATATTACAACAAATCCATTCCGTGCCGCACGGGCGAAAATACTAGTTCCAGTAAAAGAAAAAAAAAAGTAAATGACCAAAGAAATATGGCCTTCTTGGTAGTTTTGTGAACAATTATGGGGCTAAATTTGTTTAAATTAAGTTACTAGGACTAAATTTTTAAAAGAAAAAAATTAAGAGGGCAAAATGTTATTTTCTTTAACTTTTATAAATAATTTTGTTAATTTTTACCAAATGAAATTGCGCCATACGTTATAACGCTTGGCAGCATTGACGAAAGTTAGGTAAGCATGTCTGACCGGGTAAAGGATTCAACACTATTCTCGTCAAAATTCATCTCCTTTGTCTTACTAGGTTTTATCTATTAGTTTTTTTTTTTTTTTTTTTTTTTTTTTTTTTTTTTTTTTTTTTTCACTATGCCTAATAGATGAAGGAAAAAGTGTCAAATTAGCCCCCTAAGTTAAGTGGATAGTGCAATTGGGTCCCTTAAGAGCATCTCCAAGGTGCGCCAAATTCTAACGCCAAAGCACCATCGCAGCAAATTTTCTCTCTCTAAGGTGTGTCTACATCGCGGCTGATGGGGTGAGGACCCCGGCCCAAGAAGGATTGGCCCAAAGAAGAGAGCCCAAGACAGGAAAGGTGGGCTAGCATCAGGAGAAGCCCCGAGGGTGCTTGGGCCGAGTCCAGGAATCGGCCCAGGTCCAAGTACGGGGACCTAGCTCAGGATTGCTAAGAAGAGCCCAGCAGGAGCTTGGGCCGAGGGCGAGGAGTCGGCCAGGCCCCAAGCCCGGAGAAAGACTCGGCTCAAGGAGCCGTGGAGATCATCAAAGAGACTCTTAAACAGGGAACCGTTAGGGCATTAAAAGGTCGGACTTGGTCCGGCTATTACGAGCTTGAGAGAGCCGTTGGCCGACTCAGTAAAGGCGACCAACGGCTCGATACTTTAATTAGTCTTGAAGTCGGCTATTAAGGGCCTTCAAGTCAGTGGGGGAGGAGCCGCTATATAAAGGCTCCTCCACTCTTGTAGAAGGGAGACACGAAAGAGAACCCGGAGAGGGAATAGAAGAGATTCTAAACAAGCACTTTCTTTCTTTTGAGACGCACATTTTATTGAAAGGTGTATCATCTAGCTAAAGGTTGTGTTGGACCTCCTTGGGCCTGAAAACCCAAAAACCATCACTGGCGCCGTCCGTGGGAATCGAAACTAAGAGTCGCGTGTCCTCCTGAGCGAGGCGAGTTCAAGAAACGACAAGAAGAATCTCAGTCGAATTAGAAAAGCTACTGACATGGCAGGAAGTGAGGAACAATCGAGCCGACACGATAACAGACTGGGGGCGGACTTGAGAAATCAATTGAATCGGAGAAACACTCGGAGCCGGGAAAACGAGACAACGCCACCGCCAACACCACCAATGAATCAACAGCCGCCTCAGGTGCAGTTTACGCCTGAGCAATTACGTGCGATTGGGCGTGCCTGCACCGAGGTGAGCCGAGGAATAAGAGAACGGTCCATCACTCGCAATCAGCAGCCGTCTCATAGGCCCGATGACCGGCAACAGAACCGCCGGGCCGAGAGCCAGCCGGTACAGTCCATTCATTCTCGGTTGGGTCCGAGCGCCGGACGACAGTCGGCAAGAGAACAACTGGGTCGGAAGGAACCCAGTCGTGCCCCGTTAGCTGCTCGCGATCGGCAAACTGCACGCGAGAAGAACCGTATCAAAAGAACCAGGACTGAGACTCGCCGTGTAGAGCAGCCCGTCCGCAACCACGACCAACCGGCCGAGTCTGAGGTCGGTGAGAGCACGGAATCAACAGGAAACCACACCCGGGAGAGGGTCGAAGTGGCAAACTTAGTCCAAGAAGTGCGAAATTTGAAAGAACAGATGGAGGGAAAAGCCAAGTCCCCAGGACGTACGTTATTAACCGCCTTACCCTTCTCGGACGAGGTCATGGCCTTTAAGATACCGGGTGATTTCAAGTTCCCGGAGCAAGCCACGTTCGATGGGACCGGCGATCCTTGAGAGCATTTGCTGAGCTACCAAGCCAAGATGCAGGTCTTGGGAGTTCGGGACCCGGTCATGTGCTGTGCTTTTCTGCCCACGTTAAAAGGACCGGCACAGAGGTGGCTAGTGGCACAACCGCCAGGGTCGATTCGTAGCTTCGAAGAGCTAGCGGACCGCTTCATGAGCCACTATGCCGCTAATATCAAACCACAAAAAGATCTGACACACCTGGGCGACATTCATCAGTAGGGGTGAGCATCGGTCGGTTTCGGTCGGTTTTCGGTTAATAACCGAAATAACCGAAAATATTTACCGCTCCCATAACCGACCGAAATAACCGAACTACTAAACATAACCGAACCAACCGAAAACCGAAATTTTCGGTCGGTTTCGGTCGGTTATTTTTAACCGAAGTTAATACACTAACGGCCTGTAAATTCATAAAAATATTAGTCTAAACTCAAAGAATATTAACACTAAAGCAATATTACTAGTTAGAGTTGTCAATCACATAAAATTTGCAAAATCAAATGTCCATAAGTCCAAAGTCCAAACTCAAAACATGCTTAGTTCTCACAGTCCATTAGTCCAAAGTCCAAACTCCAAATTCAAAACATGGTTTTAAAATTACAAAACATAAGATAATATTCCATAAGAATTAAAAGTCAAACAAATAACAACATGATTTAAAATATGCTCCAACTCCTCCAATTCTCCAAAAGATCTCACTGCCAAGTGCCAACTGCCCAGTGCTAACTGCTAAGATTGCTCACTGCCTCACTGCCATTTCGCCCAGTGCTAACTGCTAAGACTGCTCACTGCCTCACTGCCATTTCTAAAACAAAAGAAAATTCAAAACATGAATAAAATGATTGCCCAATTAACAAATATATAATGTGCAAAACTAAATTATATTTTACCCATTTCTTCAATTGATTTTGACATCTTATGAGTCAATCACACCATCCAAACTAAGCTTTGACAAATCTAAAAACACATTACAATAAGGTTAGTATATTTTGACATAGAATAGATAAGTAATAAAACATAATATATTATGAACAACAAAATAAATACAAATAAAAAGTAAAGCATACCTAGGTCAAACTTATCCATTTCAGCAATTTCATTCTCTATATCATCCATACGTGCTCCTTGTCTTATCCAATCTTGAGCACAAATGAGTGCTTGCACTATTTTAGGAGTTAAAGAACTCCTATAAGCATCAAGAACACGCCCACTTGTACTAAAAGCTGATTCAGAAGCAACGGTTGATATGGGCATAGCTAATATATCACGAGCCATGGCAGATAAGATGGGAAATCGATGACTATTCTTTTTCCACCAAGCAAGAATATCAAAGTCATCATCATCTTCATCATTATCAAGCTCTTCATTAAGGTACCTATCCAATTCAGACTTTTGCTCTCCACAACCCATTTCAACCTTATACTTCTTAAAATCACTCTTATTCCTCTTTTCTTTCCCCTTCCTTTGAGAGATATCATCGGTTACAGATTGAGAAGATTGAGGTTGAGAAGATTGAGGTTGGTGCATTTTTCTGTATTCTTCAAACAATTCAACCATTGCACTTCTAACTTTAACAGACAAGATAGAAGCTTGATCCTTCAATTGATCCGCAGGATACATCTTTTTAAAGCAAAAATCAACAAAAGTATACTTGTATCTAGGATCAAGTACACATGCAATATACAGCAACATATTCATTTTTTCCACATTCCCCCAATACTTGTCATACTTTTCAACCATTCTTTTAGCCATTGAACTAAACTCAGAATCAGTACTTTTCAACCACTCACGTAAAGTAGAATAAACATCACAAACTTCATCAAGATAAACATTTGCAGTCACATACAAAGAACCAGATATCTTCACAGTAAGATCATAAAATTGTTGCAAGAACATGCTTAATTTCCTAACACTTTCCCAATCTTCATGATTCGGAACACCATCACCAAACAAGAGATCATGTTTATAATTAGGGTCAACTTCTTCAAATCTCTCAAATGCCCTCTCAAACTTTTGAGCTGAATCTAACATCAAGTAAGTGGAATTCCATCTAGTGCTCACATCTAATCTCAACAAAGCTTTAGATTGAATCTTTTCCAATTCAACACAACCTTTAAATTTGAGCAACCTAGATGGTGATTGCCTCACATATCTTATAGCCCCTCTAACTTTAGCAATTGATTCATTCATATCTTTCATCCCATCGGTGACAATAATGTTAATGATATGTGCAATGCATCTCATATGAAGATATTTTCCTTGTAGGATACTAGTACCCAAATTATTTAACTTTCTTTTCAAGTATCCTACGGCAACATCATTAGAACTAGCATTATCAACCGTAACGGTGTAAACATTATCAATACCCCAATCACGCAAACACTTTTCAATTGCTTTACCCACATCCTCACCCTTATGACTTGTAATTGGACAAAAGTTAATTATCCTTTTATGCAATTTCCAATCATGATCAATAAAATGACATGTAAGACACATGTAATTCACCCTTTGCAATGATGTCCAAGTATCAGTGGTGAGTGACACTCTAACAGAATGAGAATGCAACAAACTATTCAAATTTTTCTTCTAATCCAAATAAATATCATAGCAATCCCTAGCAATAGTCCAACGAGAAGGCATTTTAAATCTAGGACAAGCAATAAACATACATTTTCTAAATCCCTTTGCTTCCACAAACTTAAAGGGCAATTCATCTTCAATAATCATTTCAGCTATACCCCTCCTAAGAGCTTCTGCACTATATTTCCCAAAACTTATTGAACTCCCTTCTTCAGTTACTTGACAAAATAACTCAGTTTGTGCAGGATCAGAACTAGTACGTGGAAATTTAGAACAACTTTTCAAATGAGATTTCAATGAACTAGTCCCATTCAATTTAGTATCAGCAAATAGCTCTCTTTCGCAATAATTGCATCTAGCTTTGTTTTCACCACTATCTGTAATAAACTTATGGAAGTGATCCCATACCTCCGACCTTTGCCGTTTAGCCTTCGGCTTACTCTTTTCAACCCCAGTACTTGTAGTTGTTCGGCTTGTTCCACCAGCACCAGTTATACTTTCATCATTTGCTCGTGCTTTGGCCCTTGTTCCTTTTCCTTTCTCAATTGAATCTGAATCCGTTGATGATGTTGATATCTAGTAAAAACAAAAAAAAAAAAAATCATTAAGTATTCTGCTTTAGTATTTCACTTGAATTGAATCAGTAAGTATTAATTACTACACTGCTAACTAATCATCTTATCATAAACTAGATATGTATTAAATTAAACAAATACTATTCTGCTTTAGTATTTTACTACACTGCTAACCACTGCTAACTAATCTACTACACTGCTAACTGCTTAGTAATTTAAACAAATACATTAAGACTACATAGCCACAAATACATTAAGACTACATAACTACATTAAGACTGCTTAGTAAAAAAAAATCAATTAGCTATGAGCTACATGACACTAATTAATTAGGCTAATGGCCATAAAAATGTACATAATCTGTTCATTTCATATAATATAATAGAATGCATCCAAATAGTTATATAGGGGTGAGCAAAACCAGATCATTAAACCTCATTCAGGAGGAAAATCAAAATCCCTAACACCTATGCATCCAAATCAGTGAGGGCCTCACGCAGAACAGAAATGCACAATAGCTATGGCTTATGGAGATTGATAGAACTTAGAGAACTTACACTATGATTTGAAGGAGGACTCGACCGACTCATCACACCTCGCTCAGTGAGGGGAGTTCGACCACTTTGAAGACGAAACTTCTTTTTAATCTGCATGGTCTGAACTGCTGAAGTCGCGACTCGAATGTTGCAGGTCGCGAGTCGGAGTCGGAGGTCGTAGCAGCGAGCGCCGAGCAGGATGAACGATGGAGATTGGAGAGGAAAATGCGGAAATGGAATTAGGGCTCAGGTCGCAGGTCGGCTCATCGTATTCGTATATTCGTATGTGAGAAACGCTGAAACTGAGAATTGAGAGTGAGTCTGATTTGTCTATTAGGGATTATGCATATGACAGATTGGGCCTTGGGGCTTTGGGCTCAGTGGAAACATTAGGGTATTGGGCTACATAAAAATATATGGACATGTCCCCTCGGTTTTTCGGTCGGTTTTATTTTTTTAGCCCAAAACCGATAACCGACCGAAAAACCGAAATGACCGAATTTTTTTTAAGGTCATAACCGATAACCGACCGAAAACCGAAATTTTCGGTCGGTTCGGTTATCGGTCATCGATTTTTCGGTCGGTCCGGTTTTTTTGCTCACCCCTATTCATCAGGATGAAGGCGAGTCCTTGAAAACCTATCTGGCCCGCTGGCAGAAAGAAATCCAGTCTATAGAGGAGGTCGAGGACCAGACGGCACTCACCTTCTTCATCGAGTCCTTGCGGTCCGGTCAGCTATACCGAGACCTGCGGGACAACCGCCCGGCTACCTACGCGGAAGCCATTCATATGGCAAACAAGAGGGCCAACACAGAGCAGGCTATGAAACACAAACGGAAACGTGAAGTCGGCGGATCCGCCGGCGGAAAGAGAACGCGAGCCGAAACCAAGGAAAGGCGCCCGGACGTGACCCGACGACCCGAAGTTAGGCGACCTTACGACAGGCCCGTCGTACACCCTTACCGGCCGACTCCCGAGCGGCCGGTGCATGAAATACAAGCGGTCGCCCCGCCGCCGCCTCCGCCAATTGACGACCGTGCTACAAGCGAGGAGACGGGTAAGATCTCTAAATACTGTCGTTACCATAAATCTTATACCCACAGCACAGAAGAATGCTTTTACCTGAAGAAAATCATGGAGGGTATCATCCAGCAAGGAACCCCGCCTCCTAATCAATGGAGGCGGAGGTCGGCCAATCGAGGGGACGAGGATCCCGCCGCCGCCACCGAGAGCGGACGGGGCAAGCAGTCGGCATCTGAAGAGGACGAGGCCCAGTGGCGCCAAAAGCCGGTTATCAACATGATAGTCAGCGGGCCGGAAGGTGGAGACGCAGCAAACACTCGAAAGGCCTGGGCTCGACAGCTATATGTTGGGACAGTGTATGGGCGCGAGGAGAACTCTAAGAAGGTGTGCCGAGAGCCCATCACTTTCACCGATAGAGATTTACCGGCTGGAGAGACGCCACATCGAGACGCGTTGGTTATAGCCATGGATATCAAGGGGGTAGTCGTTCGCCGAATCCTAGTCGATACCGGGAGCAGCGTCAACGTGCTATACCTGGAGATCTTCATTAAAATGGGATTGACCCGAAAACAGCTAAATCCCGTCAAAACTCCACTTGCCGGCTTCACTGGGGACTCGGTGGAGGCGGAAGGATCCATCACCCTACCAGTTGAGCTTGGCAGTTACCCCGATGTACAGAAACCCAGTATGAAATTCATCGTGGTGAATCTGGCCTGCTCGCATAACGCTATACTCTGCCGACCGGATTTGGAGGATCTAGGAGCTCTGATTTCAATCGAGCACCTCTGCCTGAAATTCCGTACGCCGAATGGGATAGGTACGGTGCGCTGCGATCGGAAAGTCGCCCGAGATTGTTACCTGCAAGCCTGCCGAGGGATGGGCAAGCGCGAGATGCAGGTCCATGAGATCACGGAGAGGCCCCCAAAGAAGACAATGATACCTCGCCCTGAGCCGGCTGTTGAACTGGAGGAAGTCGAGATTGATCCTGAACAACCGGACAGGCAGGTCCGAATCGGAGTCGGTCTCCCTCAGGAGGTAAGAGGAGAAATCATAAAAGTGCTCCGGGAACACCGGCTGGTTTTCGCCTGGGGTCCAGAGGACATGCCCGGTGTTGATCGATCCATTATATCGCACCGACTCGCTGTAGACCCCGAGAATCGACCAGTCATACAAAAGAAGCGGTACTTGGCCAACGATCGGAGAGAGTTCGTAAAAAAAGAGGTAAGCACGCTGCTAGCGGCCGGACATGTCCGAGAGGTCAAGTACCCGGAGTGGCTGGCAAACGTGGTTCTTGTACCAAAACCCCCGGCGTGGCGGATGTGCGTCGATTATACCGACCTCAATAAGGCTTGCCCTAAGGACCCGTTCCCATTGCCGCGAATTGATCAGTTGGTTGATGAGACCGCCGGGTCAGCCTTGCTGAGTTTCATGGACGCCTTCAGGGGGTACCATCAGATCTTCATGCACTCGGCGGACGAAGAAAAGACCGTGTTTCTAACACCGGACGGGGTCTATTGCTATCGAGTCATGCTCTTCGGGCTTAAGAATGCTGGAGCCACTTACACGCGAATGGTGGCTCGACTGTTCCAGCACTTGCTGGGAAAATCAAATGGCCGCGTACGTCGATGACATGCTCGTCAAGATCCGAGAAGAGAGCAAGCATGCGGAAGATCTGGCCGACTGTTTTAAAGTGATGATAAGATACAATCTCCGGTTGAATCCCAAGAAGTGTGCTTTCGCCGTGCAGGGTGGAAAGTTCTTGGGCTATATGGTCACAAAGCGAGGTATTGAGCCTAACCCTGAGAAGGTGTAGGCCATCATCGACATGCAGCCTCCCAGCACCGTAAAAGACCTGCAACGGTTGACTGGCCGACTGGCCGCCCTTAGCCGCTTCCTGAGCAAAGCGGCGGATAAGACTGTGCCTTTCTTCGAGACCATGAAGAAGAGGGAAGGATTTGCTTGGACCGCCGAGTGTCAGCAGTCGTTCGAAGAGCTGAAACAATATCTTTCAACACCTCCGGTATTGTCTACTCCCCAGGCCGGCGAGCCCTTATTTTTGTACTTAGCCGCCTCCTCTAAGGCGGTGAGTTCGGTGCTAGTCCGAGAAGAGGAGCGCGTTTAGCACCCGGTTTATTACGTAAGCCGCTCCCTGAAGGCCGCCGAGTCACGGTACACCGCCCTGGAAAAGATTGTATACGCGTTGGTGATCACCGTGCGGAAGCTAGCACCTTACTTCCAAGCCCACACCGTCCGAGTGTTGACTGACCAACCGCTTGGGAGCGTCCTGCGAAACCCCTCGTCGTCCGGCCGACTGGTGAAATGGGTCGTGGAATTAACCCAGTATGGGATTGAGTACCAGCCTCGGCCTTCCATAAAAGGTCAAGCCTTGGCCGACTTCTTGGTCGAGTGCACGGCGAGCGAAGAAGAGAAGGAACACGCCACTGAGACCAATTTAGGCGAGTGGTGGAAAATGCACGCGGGCGGAGCATCGAGTCGACGACATTGCGGGGGTGGAATTATGCTCATCACCCCGGAGGGATTCCGACTGTACTACGCCTTAAGCTACTTGTTCCCGACATCCAACAACGAAGCCGAATACGAAGCTGTGCTAAATGGTCTCCGACTCGCCAAGACCCTAGGAATCGAGCGATTGAGAATCAAGACTGACTCCAGGTTGGTAGTTGGGCAGATATCCGGCGCGTGTGAGGCTAAGAACCCGCGGATGACTTTATATAAAGAGCGGGCGGTCGAGATGTTAAAAGAGTTTGGAGCCTACGAAATAGAATATATCGCCAGGGCAGACAACGTAGAAGCCGACATATTGTCTAAGATTGCCTTGGAGGGAGTACCGGACCACCTTGTGAAGATCTGCCAGAAGGAGGAGTTGGATTGACCGGGTATCGAGGAAACGACACTAGAAGTCCAGCAGGTGACTGGCAAGGAATGGGACAGGGAGAAAAACCCCGAGATGTTCTGGATAGAGGACATTCGGCGATTCAAAGAAGCAGGCGAATTACCAGAAGATCCGGGGGTCGCCGCCAGGGTCCGACGAAAAGCCCCCTCTTTCGAAATTATTGATGGACAACTGTACAAACGGTCATTCGGAGGTCCTTTGTTGAGATGCTTGCTCAGGCCCGAGGCCGAAAAAATAATGGACGAGGCTCATAGAGGCATCTGCGACGCGCACCAGGGCGCCCACACGCTCGCTCGCAAGTTAGTCGTCCAGGGGTATTATTGGCCGACTATGATGCGAGATTGCATCGAGTGGATATCCAAATGTGGCACTTGTCAGGCGTTCGCCAGAAAGGACACTCGGCCGGCTACCTTCTACACGCCGGTCACCACGGCTATCCCATTTGCCAAGTGGGGAATCGACTTATTGGGGCCATTACCGGTAGCCCCCGGGGGCCTGAAATTTTGTGTCGTGGCTATCGACTACTTCACCAAGTGGGTCGAGGCTGAACCGTTGGCCACTATCACCGAGTACTAATGCCGACGCTTCCTATGGAAGATGGTGATTTGCCGCTTCGGCTTGCCCGAGCATATTGTCAGCGACAATGGGCGACAGTTCGACTGCCAGGCGTTTGCTGACTTCTGCCGCCGACACGATATCCGCCATACCAAGGTATCCGTGGCGTATCCGCAGGCCAACGGGCAGGTCGAAAATGTGAATCGGACCATAGTGGATGGAATCCGAAAGAAATTGGAAGACATAAGAGGAAATTGGGCGGATGAGCTCGACCGAGTCCTATGGGCTTACCGCACCACGCAGCGACGAGCGACCGGAGAGAGTCCATTCTCCCTCGCGTACGGCTTCGAAGCCAAGGTCCCGATTGAAGTGGTCGAACCCACTCACCGGGTCCACACTTATTCCGACACGGAGAATGAGGAAAGTCTTCGAATTGAGAAAAGTTTCCTAGAAGAAAGGAGGGAAGCCGCGAGTGCTCGGATGGTCGAGTATCAACAAGCGGTAAAGAGATATCGCGATCGAAGGATTCGCCCACGAACTTTCTAAGTCGGCGATCTCGTATTATGAGACCGGCAAGCAAGCCAGCCCACGGAAGGTGGCAAGTTCGCGGTAA